CCCAGAGTTCTGACCTACATAACTATGAGATAATAAATGGGTGTTCTTTTAAATGATTAAGTTTGTGGTAATTTGTTATGCAGCAAGAGAAAACTAATACATTCTTTCTTCTGGATTTTTTAATTCTTCTGTCTCTCCAGATTTCTTTCTGCATATTTTTTTACGAATCTAATCTTCCAGGTTACTAATTCTCTCTTCAGTTATACCTAATATGCTGTTAACCCATTCATTAAGTTCATAATTCAGTTACTACAGGTTTTAGTTTTAGAATTTCCGTTTAGTTCTTTTTCTTTAAAGTTTTCATGTCTCCACCAAAATTTTTCATCTTGCTTTTTATCACCTTGAACACAAATATCATAGATATTTAAAAATTTGGAAGTAATCATGCTAATATTTCCTGTGTATCTATTTTGTCTGTTGTGTCTGCTGGATTTTGTTCGTGTAGTCTTAATCTCCTTGAGTGCCTAGTTATTTTTATTGTGTGCTGGACCTCACACTTCTAAAACTGTTGCACTACTCAATCTCTCAGCTGCCTCTTCCAGAATTTTCAAATGCCCCCAAGGGAAAGACAGCCCCAAATGCTGGGCTCCCTTCACTAGACTTCCTTCACTAGGCTTCTGTCCTTTCCTGGTTCCTAACCTAATAACTCTTCACTAACTTACTAGCTTTCTAGGGGTAAATTCTGAGCATGGGGGAGGGGGTAGGAATGTTGGGAGCAAACTGGCACAGTTATTTCACAGTCACACTTTTAATTAACCCCCCTACTATTAACCACTCATTTCATCCTCAGTTTCTTTACTTGTCATCTCTATACCCACAGCCTCTTTGAGGTTCTCCCATACATAAGTTCCATTCTTGTTGCAAATGCCTTGTCTACTTGTTTTTACTTCCTCTGCTGTTTTACCTATATCGTGATTCCAACTACTTTATATATTTCATAAATTTGTTAAAACTCTCATTCATTTATTAATGCCCTCTTGTTCTCTTTGTTCAGTTGTTTGACCCACCATCTTAAATCAGAAGATTCAAACCACTGATTTTAGAGGTGAAAATATTAAGGCCCATAAAGACACAGTGATTTGCCTAAGGTCATAAAGTACTACTACTATGAGGATCAGAGCTGGGTTCAGAACTGAAGTCTCCTAAATCACAACCATCCTATGCTTTATACCATGTATCTCCTTTATCACAGAAATTTTGTTGTGGACATTATGATGTTTTTATTTATTTATATTAACAGTGTTAAGAACAGGCCAATGCTCATTCTTGTATAGAACTAGAGGAAACAAAAAGGAATAAGAGCTATACCAATTATTTCATGTTAAAGTTACTTCTTAGAAGTAATCGTTACTTCTAAGTTCTGCCAAACTTAATATTAAACACATTTTTTTTAAAGGTTGAACACTTCATAGAACTGTTTCTTAAAATAAATAACCCTTACTATTTTGGTTGAACAAATTGGGATTTTAGGAGAAAACTGTATACATAAAATAAATGTACACACATTTTCCCCACTATTGCTTCAAAATTTTGTAATTACTGAATTTTATTATATAACTTAGTTGATATTTATGAATACTTCAAAATGATAAACATTTAAAAACTTATTTCTTAATAAATTTTACTAACATTTTTTTTTTTTTTTTTTTTTTTTTTTTTTTTTTGTCTTTTTCCGTGTCCGGCAACGGATCGCAACCCTCAGTGTCGCCCCCGTACCGGACCGGGGACCGGCGACGGGATCGCAAGCCTCGGCGTTGCTCCCGCGCCTCGCTCAGCCAGTGAGCGGGAACTGGTCTGTATGTGGGATCCGAACCCTCAGGCGGGAGCGCCGCTGCGCTTCCCAAGCGGCACACTATCCAGTGCGCCACCGGGCCGGCCCTTACTAACATTTTTTAATAAACAAAAATATAGAAACAAACAAATCAAAGACAATTGTAAAAACAATTTAAAATTAGGAGTTAGAATATTTTATTCTGGTGCCAGCTCTTCCATTTAATCCTGTACAAGTCACTGGCCCTACCTACACTTTAGTTTATCTGCCCTCTGTCTTCAAAAGACTCTAATTTAAATAGATGATTAACTAGTTGTATAAACCATACACTGTTGCTATTATGATATTTTATTTCTCAAAAACACACATGCCCCCTGTATTAGTTTCCTATTGCTGTTGTAACAAATTACGACAGACCTACCGATTTAAAACAACACAAATTTGTTATCGTATAGTTCTGCAGGTCAGAAGTCCAAAATGGGTCTTATGGGACTAAAATCAAGATGTAAGCAGGGCTGCGTTCCTTCTGGAGGCTGTAGGGTAGAATCTGTTCCCTTGCCTTTTCCAGCTTTTAGAGGCTTCCCGTATGCCTTGGCTTGGCTTGTGGCCCCATATCACTGCAAATTCTGCTTTTGTCATCACTTCTCTGACTATCATCCTCCTGTCTCTGTTTTAAAAGAACCCTTGTGATTACACTGGACCCACTGGCTAGTCCAGGATAATCCTCTTACCTCAAGATCATTAATGTAATCACATCTGCAGAATTCCTTTTGTCATGTAAACTAACACATTCACAGGTTCCAGGGATCAGGATGTGGACATCTCTGGTGAAGTCATTATTCTGCCTACCACACTCTCAAAGGATCACTGACAGATGATTTTAAAGTACAATAATGACCAAAGGAAGTTTCAGATCATCAATTAACTGTATAATGGCAATATTTTAATAAGGAATATGATAAAAAATCCAATTCCTGTTGTCAAAGTAATAACTAATCTATTGTTACGTTTATTTTTAGAAAAAGCAACCTTTTTTAAAAACAGAAATGTGCCATTCCCAGATTATTTCCCAACTCTACTTGGTGTCTCATAGCCTGGTGAAGGATGGACACAAAACAGAAAGAGAAAAAGGAGGCTAAAATCACTTATAATGTGTTTACTTTCCCTATTAGAAAATAAGATAGAAAGATACCATAAAAGTGAATATCAGTTATAGCTATAAAAATTAAAACTGTTCTTGAACATGACAGTTGTTTATAGAGATAAATACAATTAACTGAGAATTTTCAAATAGGTATTTAATGAATATCTTTATGATATCCATTATAAATAATGATACAGGGGCCATGTGTGGTCTTACATTTTGGAGAAATAAAATATCATAATAGTAATACACTACACAACTAGTTAATCTTCTATTTAAATTAGAGCTTTATGAAGACATAGGGCAGGACTCTGACCTAACCTCTGTTTGGAATCGTACTAAGATTAGTACTTTAAGATTCTAAAGTAAGATTCTAAACAGAGGTTAGGTCAGAATCCTGGTCAAATCAGAAAGTATCAGTGGTTTAAAGTCATCAACAAGCCTTTTCTCAGTTTAAGCAATAAGATCCCCAAAGGCCAACAGCTGAGTTCTGGTCCCAGGCTTACCACAAACACACTGTGAGATGCGGAGAAGTCAATGAACCTTCCTAGTTCTTAATTTCACCATTTATACTGTGAGGGTCATAGCAGAGCTCGTAGTGATTAGATAATATACACTATTCACATTATGACTAACCTTCAGAAACAAGTGAATGACAAGCCAATTGGGATAAATGAAGCCCATGTTTTAAATGGCTGCCTGTCCACAGCCATAAACAGCTCCCCCAAGACCTTTGATATTTCCCACTTCTCCCTCCCTTCTTTCTTCTCTTTCTCACCAAATTATCTGGGTCGAATTGCCATCTAATTCCAAGTAAGAGATAGACTCTAAATCAAAAGAATGTTTTACTTCTTACAACTTTTTATTAAAATCCAAGTATCCTAATTTGAACCATCCATTGGCTTTAAAAGTTCTCTTGGCACACTGGATTTAAGTAACAACATAGCACATTATCATTTGGAAGTTAAGATCTCCACTATTTTAAATACAAGCTAGGCATTCCTTCCAAACAGCCTCTTCCCCCTCATTAGCTTTTCTCAGAAGCTCTGGACTGCCATCTTCTCTTAGCTCTCAGGGGCTTCAGACACTGAGGCCAAAGAAAACAACTGATTTCCCTGATCATATGTCTTGTAACAGAGGATCAGTTAAAAACCACTGATGAAGATTCTCTAAGCTCAACATCTCTACATAAAAACATAAACTCCTCTACCAGAACATGCAGAAGAGTTCTTGTTTATATTGAATTTCCTCTGCCTACTAGCTGTAAACATTAGATGTTTAGCTTCCTTACAGTTTCTTCTAGATGCAAAGATAATCTTGTTTTTATTGACCAAAAAAAAAAAAAAAGCTTTGCCCAGAAAAATAAGGGATAAAAAGTTTGGGAGGTGCTGATAACTGTAGTCTAGAAAACATGTGAAAACTTTACCTTTAGCTGGCCAGTGATGTCGCGGCAGCTGACTGTCTTACCATGCAAGAGACTAAGGTTCAGGGTCAAACTAACGGTTCTGACGTCCTGGGCTGGACACATAGTTGAAGTGAGACACCAGGGAAGAGACGGCCAGCCCAACCCCTCACACAGCATCCCTTCCTGGTTAATCCATGGAGTGATAATGACACTGACTGGCCTCATCCTGCCAATGAATGGCAAGGCACTGCAATGATGGCGCCTAGAAATGAATAGGAGTGATTGGGAATAAAAGGGGGAGGGGGGGGGAAAAGGTGGCCATGATGAAGAAATGAATAAAACTCCAAATTTCTGTTACAACTCACTGTCATACCTATCACTCTGATATAATGACAGGGGAAATTAAAAAAACAAAAAAAAAAAGAAAGAAAGAAAAAGAAAAAAGAAACAAAGGAAAAGAAAAATTGTTACCTATTTAAATTTATGCAGCATTCTAAGAATTTGGGTTTGTATCCTACAACCTGACTACATATAGCTAGAGCAAGAGGTTGATTCAATTTAGCTCAAAAACCTATAACAGAGTATTTTTTATCATCAGTGTTTCTAAATGCTGACAACTTAGTTTTACTTTTTATTACAGCAAACACTCAATCCACACTGTTAAAACACACCATACTTACCAAACAATACCCTGGGCTCCAGAGCCAATTGGTTTCAACTGCTGGTAACGTTTTAGGACAGTGAAAGTTGAATCTGCCACTTGCACACTGTAAAACTGACTATCACATTTACTGTCACTCATGATGTAGTGTCATACAATATTCCAAAGACCTGGTAGAGTTGTCAGATTCCTTAAAAGAAAAACAGAATGAATGTGCATTCTTACTGAAATTATTCAAGACATAGCTCACTTAATAGCATTTCAACTTTACTGGTATATAACACAATGTGGCTATAAGTTGAAAAACTCAGTTTGAACAAGTTCTGAACTTAAGCAAGACACAAAAAATGCAAAGATATTTCAGTGGTACAAGACAATTATAACAGGAAGGAATTTTGAGGCCCACAAGACCACATTTTAAGGGACTGGATTAGGAAATAACCACCTGTGGGGAAAAGAATGTATACATTATTGCTAGCCATAGTAAAACTATAGCCCTATATGATTCTCATCAGCTTGCTTCCTGTGGAACCAGTTTATGCCTAGCTATCTCAACCAGAGATGGGTGTACTGTCTCAAAAGGATCACTTCTAAAATTCCTGAAGAAATGGACCAGTCTTCTGCTAAGTCCACAGATTCCAGTTAAAGTGATAAACCAGAAAGCTAGATCCATATGCCAAAAGGACAGGCTGGTAGAAGACGGGTGATATTGGTATGTGCCGTGCATACCCATAATGTGCCGCTGCCTCATGAGAGTGGCCAGGAACTGGCCTGCATCCCCAAGCCTCACACCACTACTGGGCTTCAGTATAGATATCCATATACAAAGAATTCTGCTGCAACCTGCAGTCAATAATATCGACACTATGAAGTTTATTTACATATGTATGAGTATAAACCAGCAGCCCCAGAAAGCAGCTTTTCTGTGGTGTAGGCAGTCGGCTGAGATTCCTACTCTGCAGGAACCCAGATGATTTTATACAAAAAAAGAACACAGAAATTGGCAGGTGGCTACATTTACTTGGTTCCCTAGCTCTTGTCTGATGATGTTTATTTAAAAGTCAACAGCTATTTCTTTTGACCTTTTAAAAAATTATAAATCCAATAATAAAATCATATAGGTAAATATTCCATAGTGTTAAAAAACACAGAATTTAAATTTTATTCTACAGCTCCATCAAAGTCCTGACTTTTTGTTCTACTATCTAATATTTAACGCCTATCCAATGAGTTTTTTGTAGTGATAATTTGTATTTCAACACAATGATGTCTAGGATTTCCCTTAAACATGGAAATAAATTGGTTAAGAACAAGCTTAAACACAGGACTGAAGTCAAACTAATAATTTCTCCAACTGACCACTGCTGAAGCACACAGCTATTAGTCTGACCAGCCACTCCTGCTGAGAGCCATCAGCGCACCTGGCCAGGACTGCTCCCGATGGACCCGCCCAGCTAGGTTATCAGTCTCCTGTTACACTGGAGCAACCCAAGGCTTAATGAGCTGGAATAACCACCCAAGCCACACTGCTGTGAGGAGGGGACTGAGGAGCTGACCCAGGCTGTCAGGTCACTGTATCCTAAACTCCAGGAAGGCCCTGGGTGTCTTGCTCACCATGGTGTCTCACATTCCAGGGACAGGAGGACAGGGAGGCACTGGCCCCTGGGACAGCATAAGCAGTTAATAAACCTTTGCTGACCTGACACACACCACAGCATTTAATGATTCCCCACAATCCTGCTTCATTTTACTAACATCTGAAGGAATGTCCTTTTCTAAAGATTAAGTTATTTATAGTTTGTAAGAAGCTGAAACAATTCAACATTTAGGGGATGCCTTTGTACAAGAAAGTGATACGTACTGTAGGAGATATACCACAATCAGCTAGGAACCAGTCTTAAAGCAGTATATAATTCACTATGTGGGGGAGAAGTGTGAGGAACAAGTTCATTATCTATGTTATAATACAACTTACAATGAAGTAAGGGCCATAAGCAAAATGTAAACAAAGGCAAAAGGCAAAAGAAATCCTACCCCTGGCAGGAGTGCAGAAGACAAGGAAGGCTCATGAGGGAGGCGGAACCTACATTAGATTGTTTTGCCAGCAGCAGGCAAGTGCAAAGGATTAGAGACAGATGGTAAAAGGGCAAGCACCTGTTAAAACCCGCTGTATTGGTGGCAGCTATTCCTTTGCCATATTGTAAATACACCAGCAACAATGGTCATCACAAAACATTTACTAAGCACCCACTGCGGATAAACTCCCGTTCCAGAACACAGTGGCTGCCCTCAGTAAGCTTACAAAGCACACACAGTGGGAACACCCAGGAAGAGACCCAACACAAAGAGAGACCTAAACCCAGAAGGATGGAGAAGGTTCGGGGTATGGGGAGAAGTAACATGTACAGAGAGGTAGAGGCATGTTCTGAATGTGACAAGTCACTTGAGGTTTAGTTTTGCCAGGTAGTGGGGCAATGACGCTGGAGAGAGAAAATTAGGCCACACCACCACGGATCCTGGAAGCCAGTCAGAGCCATCTGGGTGGGCTTGGTCCTGAGGGCTGTGGAAGCCATCAAAGCACCAGAGGCACATGATCAGCCTTGCCTTTCAGAGAGGTTTTCAGGAAGCTAAGAAAGGAATGGACTAGAGTAGGTAAGACTGAAGATAAGGAGGACAGGTAAAAATGACAGGTGGGATAAAGAAGGAAATTCATGGCTTTCAGGAAGAATTTACGTGACTTGCTGACCTGGAGATGAGGAGAAATGAGGGTGAAGCAGATGGAGGTAAGCAGAAGATACATTCAAAGAGTTGGGGAGTGCAGCTTTGGACAGGAAGGTGTGAAGTTCCTAAGGGACAACAGTGTGACTGAGACAGGCTGCTGATGTATTGTAGGATCCACTCCCCCCCAGTCCTGCTGGACAAATGGCTACCAACCAGAGACGATATCTGGCAGCTTTCCTGGCAGTCAGGTATGGCCATAGGACCAACTTTTTAGAAGCAGTGTGTGCAATTTCCAGTCACATTTTTTACAGAAAGCTGCTTGCCCTGCAATCTATCTTTCTCCCTTACTGCTGGCTGAGGGATCAGCTGTTGTAGATCCAGAGACGGAAGTAACATGCTGCAGATGGTACAGCTGCCCACCAGTTGGGTTTCTGAGTGACCCTGTGGCACAGAGCTGCCTCCCACTCTGGACCACCTGTCCAAGTTGGGATTGGCACAAATCAATCTCAACCTTGTTCAGCAACTCTGGAACTCTCTCTGCTATAGCTGCTTGCAACCTATACTCTGACTAGTACAATATTAGGAGAGTTTCACTGAAGTTTAGGAGCACAATCATCTGAGGTTCTAGAATTATTAATATCATTTCTTTGCAAGATTTAAAATAATTCTAAAGTTAAAATAAGGTACTTTTATTATTAGGCAGAAAAAAAATCAACTAAGAGAGAATGTGTCAAAGCTACCTTCTCTGTCAAGCTTGGGCTCCATAAGAGCAAAAGAAAGTACCTCAAGGCAACCTGAGAAAGCATGTAATTTAGCTATTAATGAATCAACTCTGTTGAGCTTATATTTCAGCAAAGGACCATCAACTGGGACTCAGAAAACAGTTTAACAAATCAGGAAGTACAAGAATTCTTCATGCAACTACATTAGCAATACACAGAAATCTGCATTTGCTGCCTCTGCTTCCCATACCAGCGGGTGCTGGTTCCTCACCCTTGGCTCCCAGGATGTGCTGCTATCTCCACTACCATCAGACCAGCACAGCGCTCCATTCATACCACTTCTGCACTCAGCAGCACCATCGGGCTGTACTGTAACAGCTTTTGCAATTTGCCTCCACCCCCAGACCATGAGCTCCTCAAAAGCAAGGAGAGAGGGATGTAAAGGAATGGGGAAGAAGATATAACAACTATACTTCCATGAAGTTGTTACAACAAGCAAACGGAAAGGACATTCTTGGGGGGGAGGGGAGAGAGGGAGGAGGGAGGGAGGTGTCGGTGACGGGCCATAATAATCATATACAGTGTATATTGACAAAATAAAAAAAAATTAAAAAAAAAAAGAAACTCAGGATTTCAAACCCATCTCGTTCTGAGAACAACTATACTTTTATGAAGTTGTTACAACAAGCAAATGGAAAGGACATTCTTGCGGGGGAGGGGAGAGAGGGAGGAGGGAGGGAGGTGTCGGTGACGGGCCATAATAATCATATACAGTGTATATTGACAAAATAAAAAAAAAATAAAAAAAAAATAAAGGAATGTCTCCTGGAGATGGAGAGAACTGAGCTCGTTTGTTCACAGTATCAACCAAGGCATGAGGAAATGGGTACTTTCATACATGTTGGTAAGAGTTGTAAACTGGTAAAACATTTTTTGGAAGGAATACAGGTAATAGCTAATGAAAATTTTAAATGTGAATCCTAACCTGGTAACTACAATTCTATAAATATATCTGACAAATATTATGTGTACAAGTATTCAAAGTTATTTGTGCAAGGATGTTTGTAGCACTTCTCACAACAGGCAAAAAACCAGAAATAACCTAAAATGTACACTATGGACTGACAATAAATTATGGAACAGAAGTACAATAAAGCCATTAAACAGAATGCAGGGACTTTAGATACTGTTATGGAACCATGTCTATGACATATGAAGGAAATAAAGAAAGTTGAAGAAGAGTGTACATAGTAAATGACAATCTACTTAAGAACACACACTATGCTAGCAAGTACGGAGAAACAGTGGGAAATGAGAAACTTTCACTCTTCCCATTATAACTTTTTGTTCTGTTTTTTGTTATTTTTAAACCATGCACATATTTCACATTAAAAAAAAACTGATTAAACAAAATATTTAACATGAGAAGCTGCGGAATGATCATTCTAACACCTGTACAGAGGATGGGTTTGAGGCAGATGAGATTGGGGGCAGGAGAGTGTGCCAGGCTCTGGGTACCTATTTATAAATGTTCTCATAACAACTTGTGAGGGGCATATTATTATTCCTACTCTGAAAATGAGGAACCTGAGGATTGGAGACAGAAACAGAGCTGCCCAAGTTCCTGGCATGGCCCAGATTTTAATTTAGGTGTGTTTCATCTCAATATTCATGTTCCTCCCAACATACCGCTCTAATATCTCTAAGTTTATTTAGAAAGTAAAGCCATGTGTCAAAGGGTTGGTCAGG